GGCTGTGCCATCAGAGGAGCAGCAGCAGAACCAGGGACCAGAGCGTGGAACAGCGATGAACTTCCCAACCCACAGAGCAGGTCCAGCTGAGTGCCCTTGTGCAGGAGGCCGGCTTGTGGAGCGGGCCACCTACCTGGAAACTTAATTGGGGAAGTTGGGCCAGCTGATACACGGAAGTGGCGCTGAGTGGCTTTGGGTGGAGGCTTATTGGAGTGAGGTGCCTCTGGGCACTTAACTCGGGGAGCTGGGTGTGCTGACCCACAGAGGTTGGGCCGAATGCCTTCAAGTTGAGGTTTCGGGCATTTATTAGATGACATGAAAGAACTTTGTACCATGTCCGGATAAACAAGTATCCCGAGCATTTCTTAGTGGCATTACATCTTAACTTCCGTAATAAACCCTGACATTATGAATTCTGTCTGTAAGCTGAGCAGCCATCGCGCTGAGGATCAGAACCTAGAGATCAAGTTGTTGCCAGGTAGCTTCAAACCGTTTCCAACTCCTAGCAACCCCATGTACTACAGAACCAAACACTATCCGGTCCTGCACATCCTCAATGTTCCTGCACGCGAGCCCTTTGTTGCAGCCACTGCTACTCTACCTCGGGGGTCTTCTTTTGTGCTGCCCCTCTCTCAAGTCAAGTTAGATGATTTTAGGTCAACCAGACACTCCTAGCCAAGGATGGAGTCAAACCTGCCAAGCCGCAGCCTGATGCCTCCGTGATGGTCCAGGAGAGGCACGGGGAACTGCTGTGTCCCCTTCGCCTTCCTGCTTGCTGGGACTCTGAGGACTGCGGGAGCCCTGCCACGTTCCCAACCTGGGACCCACACACGCCTGCACCCGCCGGCCTGTGACTTCCTGCACTCAGCATCACTGCATGCGACTGCACAGGGACTTATGGACCAGTATGGGAACTATGGACTCGAGTTGGACGGGGCCGGGGCATTTTCTTCCTATCACTACTTCTTGATAGAAAGCCTTCTTCTACATAGATGAGTGTCCCTGCATTTCTCTACTCAATCTGGCCTAACACTCTAAGCATGATGTCCTGCTCCAGGGACGGGTCTCCTTTTGTCCAACATGTGAGGTGAAGTCTTGCCATCCTTGCCTCTTAGGGGCACACTTCCTCCAGGGCAGATTTAATTGTCCTTCTGCCAGTCCATAGCACTTACAGTACATACTTCTCCAGCACCACAATTGAAACGCAGCGATTCTTCTTCAGTCTTCCCTATTCAATGTCCCACTCTCACACGTGTGTGAGTGAAAATACCATCCCTTGGGTCAAACACACCTTTGTCCTCAAAGCCACATCCTTGCTTTTCGACACCCGAAAAGAGGTATTATAACACATGAACCAGGGGGAGGAAAATTCAGGGCACAATTCAAGGTCATAAAGAGGACCGGACTTCTTGAGGTGATGGAGACTGGAGGAACCTGAGCCTGGCTCTTGGGGCACCCTTCGAGCCTGGAGCCGAAGTTACCCCCAGGGACCACCTTCCAGCCTGAAGGGAGGAGCAGTGACACTCCTGAAGGTGGAGGTGCAGCATTTACCTGGGGGAGCGATGTTCAGGTGGCAGGAGCAGGTGGGAAAGGAGGACCAGCAGGGGACAGTTTCCCTGAGGGCATGCCAGTGCCCATCACCAAACTAATGTGCTCTGTAGACTCTCATCCACAGCACAATATGCTCAGAACAAAGGACATGAAGTAGAAACTAACATTCTAGATTCGGTACAAGCGTTACGAATTCTTGTCACAGTAGCTCGTTGGCACTAATGCTAAATGATGTCCACTTCTAATGTTCTCAGGGAGGCAGCCACACAGCTGGCTACTATCCGCCCCTAGTCTGTTCTAAACAGGAAAGACACCCAGTTATTGCTGGCGTTCGAGCTCAAATACAATGCAGTCAGGTCTGAGGTGTTTGCCTCTTAGCATCCCTATAGGATGGAGACTGCCCTGCAGGAGTCTGAAGCTGTAGTTCTTTCCAGAAGTAGAAAGCTTCATCTTTCTCCCT